TTTTGATGCATTTACTTCCCTAACATACATCCCTGTTGGATTTCTGCTTTGATCTAGTTAGTTTCTAAGTCCTAATATCACTTTTGTGGGCTAGTTTCATAATTCAAACTAATTTTATGAGAATTGTTCATCAACATAACTTTGAACTGAGAATGTATTAATGCTGTTACTTCTGTTTTGGGTCTTTGGGATCTCAGCTGTAAAACATTGTTAAATAAACAGGATTTTTCTCTACTTGATGCTGATGGCACCTTTAATGCAGCACTACAGTCATAGAACCCAGATACCAGGGCTTGCACTGTATTACTGGAGTTTTATAACAGAGACTCTGATCATGTTTGGGATCTCATTGACCCAAACATAAGTAACACCACTATGTAGGATGACTTGCTGTACATTTACTCTCTTTCTTACATAGTGCATATAATACATTTACACAACGTAATATTTCCTTATTAATGGGACAAGGCTGTATGGTAATGTCCGTATTCTGTTAGCTTTATTAAATACACATATTGCATGCAGCAAAGTGAAAGGTTGACAGTTCAAACTTTATCATACTAGGTTTTAATCACATCAGAAAAAAAAGGTAGATTTTACTATGATTAGTTATTTTGACAGTATACATGCAGCAGTGGGCTCTGTAGGACTCACACAATGAGTTTTAGTCAGTTTGTTATGGTTTCTGGAGTGCAGATACACTGAATGCCAATAAACACTTAATTATAATATATGTGAAAACAATCTCAAGTACCTGCCGATCGGATTTTGATAGCAGCAATATTTCATAAATGACTTGTGATGAGAAACTCGATGCTGAAGTGAAAGTCTGCATGTCCCATCTCTGCTCTTATCCCTTGAGAGATGGACGAGAATTGGTTGGAAGCCTGAAGTGTCACATATGCCAGTTCTGTCATCAGGGAGATGAGGCTTTGTTGTGAAATGAAACTGCACATTATGTTATTATATGTGCATGTGAGTGTACAGGGACAGGAGGCTCAAGCCCTATGGACACACATGGCTAGGGACCTGATTTTCAATTACTGGCTTGGACACCCAGAGGAACGGGCAATGGCACCATACTTTGTGGTTGAGAAGACTGTAAAAGCTATAATTGGACCAATATGCTCTCTTTCTGATGTTTGATAAGCCTGTGTGTGGGGTAGGAGGTGGGTGGCATCAAGTACCTTAATGTACAATGATGTGAACATAAATGAAATTGGACTCCATATTTTCCATTTTCCTTCCTACATAAGAGGGATGGGAAAAAAATAGCTGGTCATATTATAGGAGCTCACTATAAATAGTTTAGACCTCCTCCACTACTAAAAGACACACAAACACAGACACGCACAGCTCAGTGTCAATATCACTGCAGGTAGAATAAGTGGGTTGCCAATTTCCTCTGCCTAACAACAGCCCTATTGGAAGTAGCTTCGAAATACTCCCAAGGTTGAGTTTAAAGCATTTGTAACGGGTCCCACAGTGGGGCTTATGTAAACAGACGTCAGTAGTTTCCTGAAGACGTGAACAAAGATAAGACAGTAGCAAATGTTTGCATCTTTCTGACAAGGTTGTGATCACTGTAGGTTATTTACCTTTTCAGTTCAAACCCACTTTGGCTTTCCTATCATCTTCCACTTCCTATATAGACTTGGAGAACTGCGTAGAAAAGGTCAGATTTCCAAATTATAATGATGCATATTCTCATGTCTAACCTCGACTTTATTTACTACTTCTTGTGAACAAAGAAATATGTTTGAGGAAAGTAACCCATTTCCTGAACTAGTCCCATATTCCCCCAGCATTGTTGCCTGCAGGTTCTCCAGAGACTTGCTCAGAGAACTTCAAAACAACTTGGTGTATTTGGGACCAAGTGTGAAAAGACAACTGGTTCATAAATACTCAGATTTTGGCATTCAGGTAATTTAATCTATTCAACATTCACGAGCAAGCTGCTAGAAAAAGGCAAAGACAATAATTCACCCTAATAACTGAAATGCATGCTTAAAACCAGGAACCTTAATACTGTAGCTGCAGTTTATTAAGAAAGAAGCAGAACTCACAAATACAAATTAATTCACATAAAAGACAAGTACTGTAATAGCCTACCATCTAATTTATTCTGTAGGCTTTTTTGGAAGCAAACTGTCAATACAATTTGTTATGCTTGCAGACATTACTCTATGCAGCACAAACAAAAGAGGCAGAGAGGGGAGTTTGTGTTATTTATATGGAAGCTGTATGTGATGGACAACATAAGTGACTGAAAGACAAACCCTCTTTCTGCAGATGAAACCGCAAGTATCAAAAATTCCTCAGACTGAAACGCCGGCATACACTGAAATCATGCATTCATGTGTTTCTTCCTCACTCAGTTCTAGTCTGTCATCTTTGGGCATGCAATCCTTCTCTTAATCACTGTCAAAGAAACATCTGGGTCCTGAGCTAAGCCCGTCACAGAGCCCCAGCAGGGACAAATCTCGAGGAGCATTTTAAACTGTCTGCAGTAATTGAAATCGCTGCAGCCTACAAAGTTCTCTCTCCACTTGTTCACACTTGTGGCAGAGAGAATGGGCTTTCCTAATCTTGAGATCAAACACAGGTTAAATCCCAGTTCCCTTATTTGTTCAGTCCATGTTCCTCCATCCTTGCTACACCTAGAAGTTCTTCTGGTTGAGCAAGGATCAAGGATGCTCCAGAGCTCATATATCTGCTCTGAAAAATGAGGACTGAGGAACTATGAGTGAAGATGCACAAGAGCATCCTCTACAGGAAGGGTTTAGTGGAGCAGCACGCTTGTTTAATGGAAAACAGTTTGTGATTGGATGCTTCAGATGAAAGATCCATGGAAAAGACGCCTCCTCACATTTTTTCTTACATCTTCTCCTCACTTTTTATGTGGGCGGGACTAAGACGCAAGGAAAAAATGCAAGTGAGAGAAATGTGGATGCATTCAAAGGAACTGGGATTTACTCTTAGTCTGAGCTGTCGCTCCTCTCAGAGACAGGAGGGCTGAGATTTTGCAAACAGGAAGTGATTGAAATATTGGGCCCTAAGCCACCTAACTGTGTGCATTTACTATGAGATATCAGTTGATGGGGTGAAGACACAAAGCAGCCCACCCTGGTTAAATCCCAGTCTTTGTGGTATTCATGTTGCATCTCTGTAATGAGACTCTGTGTTCATGTTATCTCATACAGTGAC